TGAGCTGATTAGCCAACTGCGGAAGCGTTCGTTGGTTGGTGTTTATATTTGTTCAAGCTTGACAACCTTATCTCCTTTATTTTCTAATATATATTTCTCATTACAGATAAGAACAAAGATTAAATTGTAAGAAGGGTTGCTTATATGAGAGCATACAGTACATCTGAAACTGCTGAGGCTGGGAAGGTTTTTGACTATATTACCGACCAGGTACATTGTTCTCAGCGTACTGTCATTCTTAAAAATAAAACAAATCATCAATTGTTTGGAGTCAGGACGATTAGACTGTGCCCAGGTCTCCGGAACCTGCGACGACGCTCAACTCCATCAGCCCTTTATCTGCGCCTTCGAATCCTCCAGCTCTGTCTCCATCGGTCGGCCCCCAGATGTTGGCAGCCACACCATCTACATCTTGGCTCCTCGCTCCCTCGATTCCGCCGTGTGTTGTCAGCACTGGGATGCTCTGGGTCTGTGCCATGTGCCAAACACCATCTAAGCTGCCAGGGCATCATCGTCATCCTCCCATCACCATCCCTTCGCCACATCCTGCCATCATCCCCGCACTTTTGCCTCTCACCATCCCTACGCCATCTCCTTGTCCGCCTCCAAAACCCCCTCCATCCCTCCCTATTCTGTTGCTTGAACTTTATCATCTTCAGTCTTTGCACACACACAGCTATTCACTTATGCACTTTGTTTTTTTGGGTCTTTTTTATGTATTTTTTTTCTTCTGAAAATTGCATTGTAATTTTTATTTATTCATTGATGTAAAATTCTGTACTTTTTAGTAAGGCCGGTATAACTGAAATGTTCTACAAATGGAAAAGATAGCTCTGCCATAGCATTTCAGTCTTTTTTTATTTATGTTTTTTTATAATGTATTAAAATGTACTTGAGTATGTTTGTAGTAATACAAATATACTATAAACATACTTGTATTTCAAGTGCATTTTTAATACATTTAATAGTATGTTTTGTTTTTCACCAAAGTATATATGCTGCTCTCCTTTTTTAGTGTACTTTATGAATATTTGTAATGTACACAACAATATATAATACATTAAAGTTTTCTAGATATCAAAGTGTGTACGTGTGTGTATAATAATATACTAGTAGTGTAATGCTAATGCATTTCCAATGAGCTGAAATACAATTGAAATGTACTTGAAGTACATTAAAACGATGCTTCAAATATACTCTAACTGTAGTTCATGAAGTATTAAAAGGACATTTTAAATGTATTTTAAGAAATACACTTAAATTGCACTAAATATACTTAAAGTGGTTCCAATTTAACACAATTTCAATATATTAAATATATTACAAATAGATTAAAATCCAACTTAAACATATCTTGAAATACACTTAATATACTTAAAGTTGTTTCAAAATAATACATTTAATATGCACTTAGTATAGTATAATTTAAATATAGTAAGTATGTCTGAAAAAGCACAACTT